GTAGGAAAAGTCAACTCAACTTTGACCAAGCATAACTTTCTCATACTTTATGATAAATAACCCATCCAAAGCTCATTATGAAGAGGATGCAATTTCCTACAATCCATATTCACACCCCAAGATCAAGAAATGCACTCACAAAAAGTTACAAATTTAGACATTATAGGTCATTTTTGAAAGTCAACAAAAACACCTTTTTTTCCAAAGCTTATAACGTGAGAATGGAATATCAAAATGAGATGAGACCAAAAGGGTTGGTTAGAGGACATGCCAAGGTTTCTAAAAAGTACAAGAACACCTCCAAAAGTTCAAAATTGAAGAAGTTATACATTGTTGAAGTTGGGCATTTTTCCAAAATTGCCAAAAGTCAACTATCCCCAAAACTTCAAATTTTGTCAAAAGGGCCCACTTTTTTCCACTTGATTTGATCTTGTCACACCACACACGTGTCCTATCTTCAATTTCATGACCAATTATTAATTTTTCTATTTTATTTTATTTTTATTGATTTAATTCATTTTTAATCAATTTAAATCAAAATAAAATCTCAATATTAATAACTTGTGATCTTTTTGATTGATACAACTTTCAATTAACATCATGAACACAATAAAATTCATGCCAAGCCATATCATGCACAAAATCTTGGATTTGTAAAGAAATTGGAAGCCTTTAATGGAAAAATCATATCAAATCTCAAATCATCAATTCACATGGATTCAAGCCCAAAGATTTAACCTAATACAACCCTTATTACTCATAGAGGCTAGACAAACACAATAGACGACCAGGAGACTGCCAAATCTCAGAATACAAAACTTGAAAAAAGCTTAAAAAGTGTGGGATCAAAATCTTGGTTGGAGGCGAATTCAATAAAAAATCTCAACGTGGTTCAATTGCCAGGAGTCCACTGAAGCTATAGCAATCAGATTCAAGCCCTCTCGTCACCTAAAACGCATTGTAAGCTTCTCTGAACATGGCCCTGTACACGAAAACATAATCCATCATTCTTGCATCCTCTTGCCAAAATCTTTGTATAATCATGTTAATCGGCCTATTTAGAATGTTTCTGCAATATTTGATTTCATTTTTGTAGCATGTAACCCTGTATTCGAAGCTAGGGTTTTTGCTCTTGTTTTTTAGGCGTTTTGATTTCAGGGAAAATTAGAACAAACCATTGACATAGATGAGTTTAGGAGGAAGAAACAGGCATAATGATGGTCTTGGTTTGCACTTTCGTGGCCTATAACTCTCGTTCTAGGACGAAGCCACGGATCTTGCTGCGGATAAAATCCGCAGGTAAAAAGATCAGTGTTTCAACGAAGAAGACGACTACGCGTCCTCTTCCCATTGGCCCGTTCAAATCTCGCGCTTTTATTTTTTATTTGCTGGCATTTATTTATTTTTTTCATATTATATTTGATTTCTAATATACTAACAGTTAAACGTGATGATGGAGATGGTAAGCGCGCTAGTGGATTGTCTCATGGGACCTGGGTTCGAATCCCAGGTCCCCCATATTTGCTTTGGCTTTTTTCTGCAGGAGATCCAACGTGCCTCAGGGGTTATGGCTCACCATACGCCCTCATCCAGATATTGTCAAGATGGCTTGTAGACCAAATCCAATGGCCAAAATTGAATACTCACCATACTCCCCAGTCAATGCACGTGCGTGGAATGGTAAAAGTCAACCGGGCTTGCTTGAATTGGGCCAACAATTGCTGAATCCACCTCCAGATTTGGGACCCAAACCCCCCTATTTGGTTTTTTTTTTTTTTTTTTAATTTCATTTCATTTATTTATTTTGTTAATTATTATTATTATTATTTAAAACTAACCAATTAATAATTTTTCTCATAAAATCAGAAAACACCAAAAATATTATTTTTATTTATTAAAATTAAATTTGACTTTATTTTTGTAAATAAATATTAATTAATTAACTTAGTTTTAATTAGGTTAATTTCAATATCTTTTTTTTTGCAAATAATTAAAATCAATTTAGAATAACTAGGTTTTACTAACTTTTAATCATTTTTATTTTATTTCCTTAAATATTCAAAAACCCAAAAATATTTTCATTAACTAATTAATTAATTTTTGACCTAATTTAATTTCCATTTAATTCCAAAAATAAAAAAAAACATGCTTTCTTCCAAAAAGGGTCAAAACCCTAAAAAACTCGCCCGATTTAATTTCTCGCACGCGTATCGTTTTATCCAATATTGTAATTGCTTCCGGTATGTAATAGCTTTTAATTAGGACTTTAACTATTTATCGCTTTATTTTACTTTCCGCAATTTAAATTAAAGGGTTTGTTTTTGGCGATGTAAATACCCGACGCCTTGTAATAGTTTAGATTTAATTTCCGCAAATTTAAATTCCGCAAATTATTAACTGCTAGATATTTGATAATAGGGAGTGCATGACAAGATCCAATGTATGAACTTAAAATCAACATAGATAACCCATGACATGTACAAAGATAAATAACTGGAAAACAATACACTCGCACATGCACACTCTTAGGGTACATCTCACTTGGTTGCCTTCGAACGTGGTCATTGAGTATAGAAAGTTTTAGAGGTCGCCCTCTTGTCCAAAGATCATAGTTGCCTCGAAACAGTTGCCTCAGATAAAATGATCTAAGACATTAGGGATACCGCTAAGGCGTCCTAACATTGCTTTAGTGACCACACGTCCCTTAATCGAATTGACCCGAAAACTCCAACGACGACGCTTCCTACTCCTCAATAGTGGGATAGCATTGTCTAAAGGACATTAGCACAGTTTAATTCCCTTTTCGAGTAAGTAGATGGTTCTTAAGTACTTGCTCCTTTTTAAAACAAAACAAAACTTTTCGCACTTACACTCCTTTCAAACAAAAACTCTTTTCAAACCCACAAACGCAAAGAAAATCAAATTTTGAAAACACATGAGCAAGTACCTAAGAGCCCGTGGATAACCACGGATAGAAAGGGTACTAATACCTTCCCTTTCTATAATCTACCTCCCGAACCCGAGAAACATCTCGAAAAAGGAATTTTTCTGTGCTTTTTTCCTTTCCTTGTTGGATAAAATAAAAGACGGTGGTGACTCTTGCTTACTGCGATATTTTGCAAAAACAAACGCAAACGCGAACCAGCATTCCAAAAACAGTCAGTTCTATTCCCACCGATCACAACTGGTAAAAGGAAAAACAACATTTATAAAATTAAACTTTCTGATTTAAAAAACCAAAATGTTAAATGTCTTATGTCTATTAACGAAGAGCAATGGGTATGACACAAACGCTTAAGTCATGTTAGCTTGAGAAAAATCTCCCAGCTCAACAAACTTGAGTTAGTCAGAGATTTACCAAAGCTGAAGTTTTCTTCAGATGTTCTCTGTGAATCATGTCAGAAAGGAAAGTTTTCTAAAACTTGTTTTAAATTTAAGAATGTTGTTTCTACCTCAAAACCCTTAGAATTTATGCACGTTGACTTATTCGGACCAGTTAAAACTGAGTCTGTAAATGGCAAGAAATACAGACTTGTCATTGTAGATGACTATAATCGCTGGACATGGGTTAAATTCCTAAGGCACAAGAATATGAGTCTCATTCTGTGTTCTTTAGTTTCTGCGTAAAAGTACAAAATGAATTTGACTGTAAAATTATTAAAGTTAGAAGCGATCATGGTGGAGAATTTAAAAATAAATATTTTGAAAACCTGTTTAACACTCACGATATTTCTCATGATTTTTTTTGTCCTAGAACTCCTCAACAAAATGGAGTTGTGGAAAGGAAAAATAGAATTTTACAAGAAATGGCCAGAACTATGATAATGGAACTAATGTTGCAAAGCACTTTTGGGCAGAAGCTGTAAATACATCATGTTATATTCATAATAGAATCTCTATAAGATATATTTAGGAGAAGACTCCTTATGAACCGTGTAAAGGAAGAAAACTAAACATTTCCTACTTTCATCCTTTTGGATGTGATTGCTTTATCTTGAACACTAAAGAAAATCTGAACAAGTTCGATTCCAAAGCACAAAAGTATATTATGTTAGGGTACTCTGAACGCTCAAAATGGTACAAAGTATATAATACAGAAACAAGTATCGTAGAGAAATCCATACATGTTAGATTTGATGATAAACTTTACCCTAAAAAGTCAAAGCTAAGTGAACAAACTGCAGGTGTAGAAATAAGACTTACAGGTTCTGAAGAAAGAAAAAATACAAGTAACAAGGATGATGAACCATCAGATCCATCTAAAAACTCAACTATTCAGAAACGACATAAACTGAGACAAGATCACTCTTAAGAACTCATTTTGGGATACAAGACAAAACTTATCAGAACAAGGCCCACCTTTAAGCAACCCGAAGAAACCATTCTAGGATTAATTTCTCTAATTAAACCAATATCAATTACAAAATATTTTTACATAGGAATCAGAAATATACTTTCGATTAGATCGAAAGTGCATTTTCAATATCAATTTTACTGTAAAATGAGACGAATTTAAAAACCAAATAAATTATATGTGTATGGAGGTGCGCATCGAAAATATATTTTTGATTTACGAAAGCATTTTTAGAATTTTGCCTGGTATGCTAAAAAAAACTTGAGGTATAATAAAAAATTCCCAAAAATATAACCTACCACAAGACTGCGATCAAGAAAGAACAGTCACACGGTCAAGAAACTGTGAACCATATGATAATAATTGGACCGTACATATTTTAAGCTTATAAATAAATAAAAATGATTATAATGAATTGGATGGTTGAGAACAACCTGTAGTCACTATTTGACGCAGAGAATCCAATTCCCGCCGTGTATATATTGCATTTGGTGTTCATTATTTTATGATGCGATGCAAGCGTGTTTAGTTATTTAGTTAACAAGTGACGTGGCGTGACAGGTGTATCAACGAGTTGAGTTGTTATGACTTGAGAATAAGTTGGCGTTGGAGTACGACGACGACACGCTCATTCATCTCAAACGCAATGGCCGAAGAATCCCAAATTCAACCCTCCCACTCTCAAGAAGAGCACTTCGACGTTCTCACCGAAGCCGGTGTCAAAACTGGAATAACCAAACCCAGGCAAGTAAAACTCACTCAGTCACACTTCTCTCGCACACAACTCCTCCATCTCATAACAAGCCAAACGCCTGCGTTTCAGAGGACAAGTTCATCGCGATGGAGACTACCATCGCGCCGTTCACGTTTGGATTTTCGCCGAGACCACGCAGCAGTTACTTCTCCAACGCCGCGCTTCTTGCAAAGATTCGTGGCCTGATCTTTGGGACATTTCCAGCGCCGGTCACATCTCTGCCGGTGATTCCTCTCTCGTCACTGCTAGGTACCTCAGATCATCTATTTTCATTTCTCTTCCCTTTGATTACTATTTACTTCGCCTGTTTGTGCATTTCTATAATGTTAGTTGACTTTTCCAATTTGATTAGAAATTAGTTTTAAGTACATGTGTGTCCCTGGATGTGTCGGAAACCTGCATACACTCGTAATTACTTACGTTTTATTTATTTATTTATTTATTTCAAATTATTATCGGTGTCAGTGTGTCGGGGTCCGAGGTGTCTGTGTGTTAGAATATCATAAAGAGAGAGAATGAGAAAGTTTGTATTTCATATATTGATCATATTAAGAGAATGAATACAAAAACTCTTATATATAGAGAAGCTAAGCACCACTAACAAAATACAATACAGCTGGCATCACTAACTGAATACAATACAGCTGGCATCTAACTGAATACAGCTGGCACTACTAACATACTTATTGTTGTCAAGAATTCTGGCTTGATCCTTTCTCATTGCATTTGATACTATATATAATAGTGTCGGTAATTACAACTCATAATGACTAATTATAACTCATAATAACTAATTACAACTTATAATGACAATTTCCTATTCTATGAATGTAAATTATTCACAATAAATGTGTTTGATTATTTCCTGATTAACATCCCTCCTCAAATTGATGCGGCTGGTCAAGGAGCATCAATTTGCTAACAAGAAACTGATGTCGTGGGCGTGGAACAGCCTTGGTAAGAATATTTGCAACCTGCAACTGAGTACTGATGTGAGGAAGTGATATTATTCGATTATCGTAGGCGTCACGTATTGAATGACAATCAACTTCGATATGTTTGGTGCGCTCATGAAAAACAGGATTTGCAACAATTTGAATGGCACTTGTATTGTCAGCATAAAGTGAAATTGACTCTGTTTGGGGAAATCCAAGTTCAGCCAAAAGACCACGAAGCCAAAGTATTTCTGAACAAGCAGCAGACATGGCACGATACTCTGATTCAGTAGAAGATTTAGAAACTCTTGCTTGCTTCTTACTTTTCCAAGAGATCAATGAAGAACCAAGAAACATGCACCAACCAGTAACAGATCAACGAGTATTAGGACACCCTGCCCAATCAACATCACTATAAGCACTCAACCGAAGAGAAATTCCAACGGAAAAGAATAATCCGCGGTGAGAGGTTCCCTTTAAGTAGCGAATTATACGACGAACCGCAACCAAGTGAAGATGACGAGGAGAATGCATGAATTGACTTACTTGTTGAACAACAAAAGATATGTCAGGGCGAGTAATAGTCAAGTAGTTGAGGCTGCCCACAAGTTGTCGATACAATAAGGGATCAGGCAAAAGATCACCATCATCACGATGATATTTAACATTAACCTCAAGAGGAGTATCTACCGGGTTAGTCGATTCTAGACCGGCCATAGAAATCAAATCTGTAGCATACTTGTGTTGATGGAGAAAGATGCCCTTGGATGTAGAATGAACCTCAAGACCAAGAAAATAATGTAGATTACCCAGATCTTTCATGTGAAATGAGGCTTGTAACTGTTGCTTAAGTCGCTGAATGGAAGCATGTCCGAACCAGTAATAACCATATCATCAACATACAAAAGAAGCAGAACAATACCCGTAGATGTGCTATGAATAAATAAAGATGAATCATACTGACTCTGAATAAAGGAGAATCCAAGTAAAGTGGAGCGGAATTTCTCGTACCATGCTCTAGGTGCCTGTTTCAAACCATATAAGGAGCGTTTGAGCTTACACACGCCTTTAGATGACGAGAATAAGCCTTGAGGTGGAGTCATATAAATATCTTCTCTCAGGTCACCATGAAGAAAAGCATTCTTCACATCCATTTGATGAAGAGTCCAACCACTAGAAGCAGCTATAGAGATGATCGCGCGGACAATTGTCATTTTGGCAACCGGTGCAAATGTCTCATCATAATCAATTCCATATTCCTGCTTGTTTTCTAACGCAACCAAACGAGCCTTGTAACGGTTGAGGGACCCATCAAAATTTAATTTCACAGAATACACCATTTGCAACCTATAGGTTTTACATCGGGAGGGCAAGAGACAATATCCCATGTGAAATTCTCTTGAAGAGCTTGAAGCTCTTCATTCATTGCTTTTATCCATCGCACATCCTTAACAACCTGTGAGTAACAAGTAGGAATAGATATGCTAGAGAGTGTGGCAGTCAGAGAAGTATGTGAGGAATCATACCTGTCTGGTGAATATCTATCTGGTGCACGAGATATTCGACCAGAACGCCGTGGTTCAACCGGTACAGGATCAGGTGGCGGTTCAGCGTCGGGAAGGGGTGTGGGAACCTGCTGTCTGTGTTTTCTGACATATACATGACCTGGTTTATAACGTTCTATAGATTGAGGCATAATAGAAAACTTAGGAAGAGTAACAATATCATTAATGGCAGGAGAAACACAGGGAAACATAAACTGATTATCAAAAAATGTCACATTTCTAGAAATGCGAAAACGATGGTTAGTGACATCATAACACACAAATCCCTTATGAGAGTGACTATATCCCATAAATGCACATTGAACTGATTGTGCTCCAAGCTTATGCCTTTCAAAAGGAGGTAAGTGAACAAAACACACACCCAAAAGTATGTAAAGCACTATAATCAGGATGAATTTTAAAAAGACGAAAGAAAGGAGAATCAAGTTCAATAACCGTAGAAGGAAGACGATTGATCAAGAAGACAGCTGTGGAAAGAGCTTCTACCCAAAACCGGGATGGTACTGAAGCTTGGAGAAGCAATGTGCGTGTTACATCAAGCAAATGACGATTCTTCCGTTCTGCAATACCATTTTGTTGAGGGGTATTGGGACAAGATCGTTGCGACAAGATGCCTTTTTGTTGAAGGTATTCCTGAAACTTATGAGACATGTACTCACCACCAGAGTCAGAGCGAAATTTTTTAACACTTGCTTGAAATTGAGTTTCAACATATGTTAAAAATTTCTTAAACACAGAAAACACTTCAGATTTAGACCGAAGGAAATATATCCAAATAAAACGACTATAATCATCGATAAATGTGACAAAATATTTATAGTGAGAATGAGAAACTACAAGAGATATACCCCATACATCACTATGAATCATTTCAAAACAAGTGGAAGCACGATAAGCACCAGATGGAAAAGGAAGTGTTTTACTCTTAGCTAATTTGCAAACAGAACATGAAATAGAGGCATTAGAAACATTCTTATTTCCCAACAAACCATTTTTAAATAAATGGGACAAAACAACAGAGTTTGGATGACCTAATTTTCTATGCCAATCCTCATAAGAGTTCAAAATATTATTACAAGCAAGAGATATATGATTAGAAATAAACTGGAGTGGAAACAGTCTTCCCACTTTAGGCCCCTTCGCGATCACTCTCTCCGACACCTGTTCCTGCACAAGACAACCATCACGAGAAAAGTTAACATCATAATTTTTATCTACCAATTGACCAACAAATAATAAATTAGACGCAAGTCCAGGTGATACAAGCACGTCCCGAAAATCAGAGTTGATGTCGCCAATATCCGTAATAGATAAAGTATTACCATCAGCTATTTGAATTTTCTGTTTACCATGATAAGAGTGTAAATTGTTCAAATACTCTGAAGAACCTGTCATGTGATTGGATGCACCCGAATCAAGAAACCATGGGCGAGAAACATTAGAAGACTTACCCTGAATTCCCAAGGCCGAGAGAGCGAAAAGTACCATTTGTTGAACCAATTCAGGTTGTATAGCACTATCGTTTGATGCCCCATTAGTGGAAGGACCAATCGCATGATTTGCATGGAATGCCTGTACTGAACGTTGTGTTGGTCGTGGAGGGCGTGTGGGACACTCAGAGATAATATGACCCTGTTGCTTGCAGTAATTACAAAACTTCTTATTGCAGCTACGAGCAATATGACCAAATTGTTTGCAAGAGAAGCACTGAACCTGTTTCATATCACGATTTTTACCTTTACTTTGAGCAGCATATGCAACCATCACGGGCTCGAAAATGGTAGCATCATGAGACATGGCTCCTTGAGTAATAAGACGTTGTTCCTCCCTTAGGAGTTCTCCAACACATGTGTCTAAAGAAGGAACAGGATTCCTATTCAACAAGGCACCTCTGACAACCTCAAATTCTGGGCGTAATTTCATGAGAAATTGATCTCGACCACTTGTGTTGTAAACCTCTTGAACAACCGCGAGAGAGGTCTTGGGAACATTAGCATGTATAATAGCAGAGTGTTCTGCCCAGAGATTTAAAAAACCAGAATAGTATTCTTGAATAGACAAATCACCTTGTTTGTAGTTGGCTATTTCTAACTCCAACTGAAAACGTTTTGCCGAATTGCCCTGGTTGTAAATGCACCTTAGATAATTCCACATTTCTTGAGCAGTTGAAAAAGAGCGTAAGTTATTGATCATGTGAGGATCAATACTGTTGAGAATCCAAGTGATGATTTGAGCATCTTTAGTTTCCCACGCATCTAAACCAGTTTTCTCCGTCGGTGCCTTAGAAACACCATCTAAATGACTCCATAATCCCTTTCCTTTAACATACATCTTGAACTGAAATTCCCATGCAGAATAATTCTTGCCGGTAAAACGGACACAAAAATTCTTTTCATTTTCCATTGCCATTAGATATAACCCCTTTGTATTGTTAAATAAACAGGATAAATCCAAACCCAGTGTGCACGTGCAACCAATTTATTTAATAATACCAATTAAATAAATAGTAAAACAATGGAAAGCAAACCAGGAAACCACGCGGTAGCTAAACCAGGAAACCACGCAGTAGCTAACGAACGGTGAAGAAACACCCACGATCTAGAAATCGCCAACAATTCAACAATGAAACCACGATCACCGAACAAAATCACCAAGAACAACGATCACCAAGCGGAAGCGCCGAGAATACGAAACAGAATCGCAAAGCACAATATGTTAGCAGCACCAAATGATTAACGATCACCGAAAC